AATAACCTTAAAATAATAATTCGTATATCTTAATCTCTAGAACTTAAAATTACATTAACATTTATCAAATATTGAAATATCAACAAACACACTACGACCAAGGAACAAAACAAATATTCAAAATTCAAAACCTAATTTAGCAATATTCAAAACCTTCAAATATTAAGAAACAAATCTCAAAAATTAAAATTTACATATAATACCTAGACAATGAGAGAAGATGAAGAAGCACAAAAAGGAGCTTGAATCTGCCTTCAGCCTTCGCCCTTCTGGTTTCGGTCCTTCAGGCAGTGGCGGAGCCCTTCTGGAATGTGGAGCAGTGGTCTTCCGTTTTTTTGTTCAATCCTCATCCTCTCAAGTCTCATCCTCCATTTCTTTTTAATTTTTTGGGCATTTGGAGATTTGGGCTACTGGGCCGTGGATTGTTGGGCTGGGTCAAATTAATTTTTTTAAACCCATTCACCAAAACGACGTCATTTCGTTTTGGTGATTTTTTTCTTCCGCAGCAGTTCATCTTCTTCGCTGGACCTGTCTGCCGCCGGGAGTTCTTCGCTGCGAGTCTGGGATCTGGGGGGGCAAATCCGGCCTCCCGTCGCCGCGGGTACCATATTCCTATTTCGCCGGAATTTTCCCGGGGGGGGGGCACTTGCCCTGGCATGCCCCCCCCCCTCCTCCGCCCCTGCATGTGTACAAGGATTACTACATTAATATTAAATATACACATACTATATTTAACATGCGCCCAACTACGTGACCGGTGATGGGCGAATGCCAAGACTGTGTCTGAAATCGGAGAAGAGGAGTGAGGGAAGCCCTTTGGTGAATATATCTGCATATTGAGAAGATGATGGAACATGAAGGACCCTGACATGACCGAGAGCAACTTTGTCTCTAACGAAGTGAATGTCGACTTCAACATGCTTGGTGCGCTGATGCTGAACGGGATTAGACGAGAGATATACTGCACTGACATTATCACAGAACACCAATGTGGCACGTCACAGAGGCTGATGAAGCTCAAGAAGAAGATTTCGGACCCAACTCGCCTCAGCCACTGCATTTGCCACGGCTCGATACTCTGCCTCAGCACTGGAGCGAGAAGTCGTGGCTTGCCTCTTGGAGGACCAGGAAATGAGATTGTCTCCAAGGAAAACACAATACCCGGAAGTAGAACGACGAGTGTCGGGGCATCCAGCCCAATCAGCATCTGAATAGGCTTGTAAAGCATCTGTGCGAGTGCGGTGGAGAGTGATCCCATGTGTAGCTGTGCCGTGGATGTACCTCAGGACCCTCTTCATGGCCGAAAGATGAGTGCTGCGGGGCGCATGTAAATGAAGACATAACTGCTGGACTGCATAAGTGAGGTCGGGACGAGTGAAGGTGAGATACTGTAGAGCGCCGACAATGGATCTGTAGATAGTGGGATCCGGTAGAGGAGTGCCAGACATCGCAGACAGCTTAGCTTTGGTGTCCACAGGTGTGGAGATAGGCTTACAGTGAAGCATGCCAGCCCGCTCTAGAATCTCGTGTGCAAACTGAGTCTGATGAAGAAAGAGTCCCCTAGCACTGCGCTGGACATTAATGCCAAGAAAGAAATTGAGATCCCCCATATCTATCATAGCAAATTCCCCTTTAAGTCGCTGAGTGAGAGATGTGAGGAGGGCAGGAGAGGATGCCGTGAGGACAATGTCGTCCACATAGAGTAGGAGATAGGCCATGTCTGTGCCACGGGAGAAGACAAAGAGCGACGTGTCACTCTTGCAGCTACAGAACCCTAGAGTGATGAGATAACCTGCAAATCGTTAGTACCAGGACCGGGGGGCCTGCTTGAGACCATAGAGGGCCTTCTTCAACCTGCAAACATAATTAGGCCGTGCCGGATCCTAGAAACCTGAGGGCTGGCTGGCATAGACTGTCTCGTGAAGTGTGCCATTCAAGAATGCATTCTTCACATCAAGCTGGTGAATGGACCATCTGCGGCTGAGAGCAAGAGTGAGAACAATGCGTACCGTGGCCGGTTTGACAACCGGGCTAAAAGTCTCAGCATAGTCGATGCCGAAGCGCTGATTAAATCCACGGACCACCCATCTAGCTTTGTACCTGGACAGTTCACCTGTGGGGCCAAATTTGTGGCGAAAAAGCCACTTACCGGTGATAATGTTTTGAGTGGGGGAGGGAGGTACTAATTCCCATGTTTCGTTTTTGATCAAAGCATTAAATTCATCACACATAGCACTGTACCAGTTTTGATCCTTGAGTGCACTGCGGTAGGTGGGTGGGAGAGGAGAAATTTGGGCCATGGAGTTAAGGTTAAGGATCTGTTTGGGTTTGGATATGCCGACTTTGGAGCGGGTTATCATGGGATGGGTGGTGGTGGTGGGATTGGGCTGTGTGGGCCGAGGGGATGGGGGGAAGTTGGTTCGGCATTTAGAGGGCTGGCAGGCTGGTTGGGTTGGG